TTACATGAAGTGGTGAAGTGGTTGCTGTCAGTTTTGCATCCTGTCTTTTTTTACAGGTGAAAGACTTCAGGTGTTTACTGTTAGCGACGTCATGTCTACGTCCTTTCTTACGATGAATTAGACACAAAGTAGCCTGTAAAGAAAAGAGGAAACGTGTCCACACGCTCTCTGTTGAGTATATTTAGCCCTTACTTCTTATCTTTTTAAGGTTAAACTGAAAATAGTCTTTACGATTTGAGAAAACAAAACAGGTTTCCTAATGCTTCAGATAACTTGCCATGTCATGGAAAACTGATTAGCAATTAAGTGCTAATGCTATTGATGTAGCTTAATCATTGACATTTGACCACAAATTAAATTATAGAAATAGAATAAAAAGCTTACACAATCTTACAACGGCATTAGAAGTACAGATTTCCACAGCTTCACACAAGTTACATTCAAACAAGAGAAGAGAGACAAATTATATTTTATATAAATGATAAATAGACTATGAGATGTGGCTGATGAGGCTGTATGGCACAGTAAAAAAAAAAATATATACAAATAAAAACATTTAAAGTATACAGACAGAAAAGTATTTATTGCACAGGTAAAGACATACTAAGTGTGTAGTTGAAAACATATTAAATGGACAGATAAAACACATACAATGCATAGACTAATGCGGGCTGTAATGTGGCTGTTGCCATGGCAATTTACATTTTACGTGAATACATGATATTCCTGTCATTGAAGAGAAACATAGCTGGGTGAACAAATAAAACGGTTTAGGTAAATGTAGCCGTAATCAGGACAGTGGGATAATAAGATGTTTGAGATGTTTATTCAGAGAGCACCCACAACTAAATCAACTTGTCAGGTTCAGTATTTAAAAGGGCAAAAGCTGTATATTTAACCTTCAGTCAGTAAATGGATTGATCTTATTCTTTAGTTTATTCTCATGTTTTTGACCCTTCTGCTTCGCTGTCACTCGGGGTCTACGGGCACATTACGCAGATTTTCCTTTAATCTCACACCTTTAATTGTTTTCTTCTTGCTTGGTAACGGCTCCTGTACGTTAAAACACAACTGTGTGTTTATGCTTCAATAAAAAAATAGAAAAATCAATAAAAAGACACTCCACTTTCATTTATTTTACCAACTTAGTGAAAGGTCGACTCAAGCTTTGAATCTTGATTTTTACTTGCACTAACTTTATTAATTTATTCTTGATTCATATCTAGTTTCGTAACATTTAGCGTCTCCATAATATTGTGAATGAACTTTCAGATAGAAGGTCAAACAACACCTGACTCACCAAGTATCCAAATCTATTCTGTTTCCTCAGATTGAGGCACCACCCCCATCATGCCCGGTGAGGAGAAACCACCACAACAGACCCGCCAGAGGAAAAAACACAAAAAGTCCCGCTCCAAGGGGAAGAACCCGGGTGGGAGTCCCAGTGGACCCCTCGGGGGGAGCCTAGACGGCCAGGATGACCTCCTGTCAGCACCCTTACTCCAGCCTCCTGCTAAAAAGCCGGCGGAGGAGAAGCCCAAAGTGTCCGTGGCCAAAGTGGAGGAGGAGTCGTCGATTGCTATCTGTCTTCAGGTGGTTTTTCCCTACCTGCTGGCCGGGATGGGCATGGTGATGGCCGGCATGGTGCTGGACAATGTAATGGTGAGTGTGCAGCCACGAGGCCGGTCATGATACTGATGCTTATTTGTAAGTGTGTTGTTCTGGTTTTATATCATATCATACATCGGCAACACAAAAATCATTCCGAGTGGTCATCGTGTTTGAGAACTTTAGTTTCAAGACAAGTTTCTGATGGAGTGAAAAAAACTTCAGCCGTCACTCTCTGTAGATTGGATAAACATGTTCTACGACGTCCTCGTGTTTGTGCTTTTGGTGATATTTTAGTTTACACACGTGCCCTTCAAGAGGAGAAAAATAAATCCCTTGTTGCTGGGAAACGGTGCGGTGGATCGACCTTAAAGCCTTAATTTAAAAATCTGTAGTTCACTGTAAACTGACCTTCTGACATATTTATGCTAATGTTTAAAATATGCACTGTCCCTGATAGATAAACAGAATTTTAGAGACTCCCGTTTAATTTAGGAGATTGTAATCTTCATCATCATCATAATATAAAAGTAAAGTGCAATAAATAATTCACTCCGTTTACTGTCAGTCCTTAAAGTTGACTTATTATGCAGATCTTTGTTATAATGATGGAGTGGACGCCCAAACTAAACGTGATGCACATCATCACTCAAGTCAGTCCTGAATCACCTTTATCATAATTCATCCATTATTTATGCATCTTCCTGTTCGGGGTCGCGGGGGGGGGGGGGGGTGTCACTGGACTAAAGGCGGGGTTACACCCTGGACTAGTGGCCAGTCAATCACAGGGCTGACATGTAATGTAGTCCTTAATGTTGACTCACATTCACACCTACGGGCAATTCAGAGTCACCAGTTAACCTAACCAGCATGTCTTTGGACTGTGGGAGGAAGCATGCACGGGGAGAACATGCAAACTCCACACAGAGAGTCACCTGTCCAACAGGGATTCAAACCAGGAACCGTCTAGATCTGAGGAAACAGCACACTGCAGACCATTCTTGATAATGTTCCCCCAGGTATTTGACTTGACTTCATATGACATGACTTAGTTCATATGACATGACAAACTTCTCAGCATGCTATTGGAGACCTCTCTTCATCTTGTGACTGGTATCGTGTTTCCCAGTCGTGCGTGCGTGCGTGCGTGCGTGCGTGCGTGCGTGCGTGCGTGTGTGTGTGGGCCTCCGGTTGTGTCTTCATCCTCTGCCAGGCGTCTCTGGCCGCCCGTCTGCAGCCAGCTGTGTTTGAGGGAAATCAGACACTCTGCCGTCTGCTTCACAACTTCTTCTTCCTCTCTTGTCATCCACTGATAAACACCAGTCTCTCTCCTCATTCAGCTTGACCCCCCCCCCCCCCTCCCCTCCATCTGTTGCTCATCAGCATTTCTAACACCCTTTCCTCTGCACTATCTGTTTCCCTCCCTGCGTCTGATGGACGACAATTAGTCATGATGGGTTTGGCTGAGTGCTGTGTCCCAAAGCAGAGGGGACGTAGAAGGACATTCAGAGCAGTTTATCTGAATATACTTCTTACAGTCTGTGGATCTAAACCTCCACTTCCTCTTCTCAAACCCATAACTTGTATCCCACATCATACATCCTACATCCTATACCTGCCAGCATGATTTTTCCACCCCCCTTTGTGACGTGGATTGCTGTTTCTTTTCTCACTGAGCTCCCCAAGCTTGAGCTGCTTATTACACAATTGTGCTTTTACATTTTTGACTCCTCCAGAATAATTTCTCATTGGATTAAAAAGGACATCGATCGTCCTTACATCATATGAATGCATTCATTACGTCTCATGAATGTGGGAGATGTGGGGAAAAGTTTCCACATTTGTCCAGCCTCTAAGATCGACTGATGCTTGATACAAAAACACAGTCCAGTAATGTCGGTGATATTGTTTGCTAATAAATGAGGCGATGCTTGTGAGCTAGTTCACACAATCAACTCGATCAGCACTGATTTCACACTTGACACGCTTCATTCTCAACGATCACCCGACAACTCCTCCTTCCCATTAACGGTTTATTTAAGCTGCAAGATTTTCCGCTCTTTCATTGCCAGCTCAGCCCCACCATGCACCACCACCCCAGCATCCACCTGTAGGCTCCGGCTCGGGGGTTTAAGACAACATCCCATCACTCCTCATATCTCTGCATGTTAGTTAAAACTGTGATGAGTGATGAGGTCGGATCCTGGACGCCAAACACAAACTGTGATCTGCTGCAGTAAATATTTTAAACGGTACAAACATGAGCTGTCTGACTGGACTTACATCAAGTTGTTTAAAATGTTAGACATTGGACTTTTACGTTCTTAAGTGAGTTTGTTGAGATTAAACTCGACCTAAATTAAGTTTTTGCTGTTTATTTTAAGAAGGGGTAGCCGGCGTCCAAAACTAAATCTACCATTTATCTCTATTTGTATTCATTCACCTTATTGGTGTTTATTTTTGGGCTTTTGATGCCTTTATTTATTTATTTAGAGAGAGAGAGCGCAGTGGAGTTGCATTGTGAAAAAATGGCCGACCTCTCATCTCCTGTTTAGCCTCTGAGATGCATAAATGAAAGGAACACTTAAGCATGAATCCTCCCCCTGTCCTGTCACTGTTATAAAGGCATGGCCATAATGAAACAGTCTTCATAATGGCAGCTTGTTTATGTCTGTCCTGAAACATGATCCTGTGTAAATCTTTAGGAGACCTTTATCATGATGAATCGAAGTTAAGATTGGGAAACAAAAGGACAGATGTTGAGTTGTTTTGTGGAAAATGGCCAACCTCTCTCATCTCTTGTTTAGCCTCTGAGATGCATAAACAAAAGGAACACTCAAACATGAATCATTCAGAGAGCAAAAGACCTTTATGAGGGAGGCAGGAATCAAGTTATTGATTTGATATTGATGAGGAAATAAAAAAGCATCAACTCCCTTTAGAAGGGTGAAGTAACCGCGCTGATAAAGCACGAGAACACGGTGGAGGTAAAGTGATGTTTTGTTTCTCCTGACCTTAAAAGTGCTGTGAAATCATATTTAATCTCAGGGGAGTTTTGTTTTTTGAAAGCAGGGCAATATTTCAGTAACCCACTAGAGTGTGAGTGTGTTTAATCTTTATGGACAGGAAGCATAAAGCGGCAGGGCCTCCGACACGATCACAGCACAAATATAGCAAATATAGCAGGTGAACTGGAGGTAGAGAGGGATGCAAAGGACCGAGAGAAAGAATGAGTCACGATTTCCAGAGAGAGAGAGAGAGATTAGAGAAAAAAGAGGGATGCAAGACCGGCCGACGTAGCAGAAAGGATGTCACATGGAGAAGGGTGAGCGGGGGTAGGATGAGAGGAAGACACGCAGCACAGAAAAGCAGAAAAAGGGAGAGCGAGTGTGAAGCGGTAAGCCGGTTGTTTTCCCCCTCTCATGAGTTTGCATGTCGGGCAGTGCAGACAGCCCTGCCTCTTCCTTTTGCTACGTCACAGCACGGCAGAGCACAGCAGAGCGGAGCGGAGGGAGCAGGACTACCCTGATGCTGACAGGAAGAGAGAAGCACTCAAGGAGCCGGCTGCTGCATCCTGTCAGAGGACCTTTTCACATCACTTATTGACATTACAGAGATTCAGTTTGTCTGTTTTTTTGTCTTCAATGTCATTGAGGTCCTGTCCAAAAAGAGGAGCTTTAGTGACGGAGTCATGGAGGAATTTTGCTTCTAACTTCAGGGACCTTTTTGGACTATTCTGTGTCTTCTGGCTGCTGTCAATCAGTCACATCAATCATTACTTTCATTTAGAGGATACAGCTGCTCCTTTACTTTGGAGGTCACATGGATTTCAGACTGGATTAAATGGATTGAGGACCAAATCAAACAAACTCTAATTAAAAGACTGAATACATCATCAAATGGACTCTGGAGCAGATGACAGCATCTTGGACAAGGACCAGAACTTCCTGCAATCTTGACTTATCGTTGTCAGGTTCATTCTCTTTCCCCCATTTGTGAATGTCAACCACCTTTACTTAAGATCCGAGGTCGGATGAAGACAGGCACTCTTAAACTTGAACTGCAGACGTGGAGCGTCAGTGCTGATAGACCAACACTGTGCCCTATGAGTAAGACGTGGTGTTAATGATTCTTGTTCCCCGGTGATGCTGACAAATGGAAACCTCTTTGCTGCTGAGTCATCACTGGGCCAAAGATGCCACACTCCTTCCCTCTCAACTTAGATTTAAAGCCTCTAATTTTGATTTTGCCTTGGAGAAAAGATAGAAATTGGATTAACTGGACAATATCTTCCCTGATTGTCTTAAACCTCTGAAGACGAGGGAGTAGCTCGTTCCAACTAACTTGTCCGATGTCATGATTGATCAAAGACCAACGATCTTTTAAACCTTTAAGAGCACAGATAATACAAGATCTAAGTTTTTCAAAACAGGTCAGCTGCTTGAAAAGTTTGTCCTTTCCTTTTTAAACCAAGGACACAAACATTAGCTGGTTTAGACCAAATGACAACTTCATCAGAAAAGTGACACTCAAACCAAGATAACTTGGACAAATCAAGACGTGTTTTAAATTGGACTGAAGTAACTTTTAAGATGGGCTAACTGAACGTTGGAGCCCTCTTTCAACATGGTGGTGACTCGTCTGGAGGTGGAGCTATGCTACCAGGGGAAGAAGTTACGAGGTGTGACGTGGAAGTTGACTCGATCAGAACATGGTTTCCTGCCTGAGAGCTCCTGGCTCATCGCTGCACAGATCATCGTGCCGTACCTGGTGTCAGGGCTCGGGATGGTCTCCGCTGGGATTGTTATGGATCTTATACAAGTAGGAAAATCTCAGGAAAAAAGCCATTCATGGAATTGGAAAGTTTGGTTGATTGGTGGATGAATAGTGTTGAGTATTGTCTGAAATATCTCGATACTTGGACTACACTACCGTTGACAAGATTTGGTCAGTTTTTAGATACTTTACTATTGAAAGAACTACAAAATAATTGTTGACAAGATGTCTTCATCTAACAATGGAAGCCAGAAATCAAACATTAAACACTTCCCCACATATCCCCCGATCTTACATCTAAGATGACATAGGTGTCTTCCACACATTATCTGCAAACGACATCAAGAGGAACTGCATGTTTACACAAGTGACCAAATAAGAACATCCTGACATTTACCTACCAGGCCTCATGCACTCATGCAATTTTGTGTCCAATGTAGTCGATTTGTGAGCGCAACAAGTTATTGTCTTGACCGATGACAGTGGTTGAGTTGGTGTATTGACATTGCACAGAATTTTGCTGCTGCTTGTCTTGGTTGCCTGCGTTTGAATTACAGATTTGTCCTTAAACATGTCGTAGGGATATCAACACTGTAACCATCACCATTATGAATGAGGCTCTCCTCTACCAAGGTGTGGTACCTAGCCTTAAAGTCTTTTATATTATATTTATATTTTTCCCACTTAATTGTAATAGAAATCAAGTATATCCTCTGAAAATAACTCTGTGAGTCATGACTGTCTACAGTGGGTGTAACACCCGAGTCCCACTGTCTGTGATGGTTTCAGAGTTTTCCGAGTCCTATCTTCAGTTTGTTTACATCGCCTGGACGGCCGGCTGACTCCTCCCCTCGCGTATAAAAGTTGTTTAATTGAGGGACTAGAGAAAAGAAGAATAATATACTGTACTCACTGCTTAACTGTGTTTCTAGATCACGCTCATTTCAGGTAAATTTACACGCAGTGTGAAGATACGAGCATAATAAAGATCGCTAGCATTAGCTTGCTAACTGCTAACTACAACTGCAGAACGCTGCAGGGCTGCCAAGAGAGGGCTACTCTCCAGTGCTAGGAGAAGAGAGTCTGTGTAAGTGGTTTAAACCGCTAATGTAGAGGCTTGAAGTCGTCTTGTAAAAGTCTTGGTTTCGAACTATCGTTTGATTTGCAGATCAAGCGGTTTAGCGCCCTCTGATGACTTATCCTGGGATTACTCCAACATACATTTACATCATGATCTCAAACTTTGCCAGCGTTTAGTCTAGGCATCCAGCATTGTAAAACTATGTTAACCTTTAAAATGGGGTTCAGCATCATAGGTCAACTTATTAGAACCGCTTTTCAGTACCTTTCTTCTTTACCATCCCATCTTTATCGAGCATCAAATCTTATCTGTTTTAAATGACAGTCAGCCTTGCTTTGTTAGTGTATTTGCCATTTACAGTCTGGAACCCAACACTTCAACACACTCCTGTCCTTCTTGGATATTTTGAAATCATGTCTGTCCACTAAGGATAGTTTGGCTTGCTTGAATTACAGGAATGCAACAGGTCCTTCAAGCTCTCGGTTACAAGGTCATTTTTTATTTATTTAAAGGTGTCTTTAATATTTAAACCCCCACCCACATAAAAACCAATGCTCCAGTGTTGATTTACGACAACTTAAAGCTGTAGTGTCTGGTTAGATATCGACTCTCCCAACTCTGTGGATAGACTTAGACAGTTTATCATGTCGGTATGGATCAATGAATGAAGTGGAGAGGTTGGTGGCTGTGCACAAACTGTGAATAAACGGCTGTACAGTAGACAGTTTAATGAAGGATGGATAGAAAGATTCAATAAACAGTGGTGGGTCAGAGATTGCTGCTTGGGTTAGATTCATATCAGCCAGCTTCACTTTTATAACTTTGATTTGTACCAACATTGGCCTTGCATTGAATATCTTATATTTGCAAGTCAGTCTTTATGATTCAACCAGTTCTCTAACTCCCTTTTCTATTTGTTGAATATATAATTGGACAGCGGTAGACTTTTTGAAGATTCGCACGGATCAAAGATGAAGGGCAGTGTTGGATAACAGAGTATAGAAACACAAAAGCAACTCCTGCACTCAAAGAAATCCTGTTCCCCCCAGGTTGAATATCCTGTTTTATTTTCAAAAGATGAAACCTTGTGTAACATCCACCTTTCTAGGCATTGTGAATTAGATTTAGATGTGGGAGGGAGGGAGGGGAGAGGAGAGCTTTGGGATAAAAGTGAACAGTTAATTCAATAAGTGGTTGGAGGATGAAAGGAAGGAGGCCGGGGAGGGAGTAGGTAGAGGAGACTTGGATATCTGGGTATCACACAGAAGAGATACTGCAGTCACATAATGTCTGCACCCTTTACCTGCAGCGATACGTGTTAATATCAATAATTGTGAAATCAATAACTATTGTAAAGTGTTAGCACAGTGTAAAACTGTCTTCTCATCCATCACTCTGAAGCAGCAGCATTACAGCAGAAGTGGGCCATGTCCCAAGATAACCTCCCTACATGACAGCCGTCAGCTAGACCGACCAGTCCAGATCTCGAGAGCGTCGGTTATTAATAGACGCACGCTCAAACCGAGCCACAAAAAGCACGCCTCTACCAGACACTGTACTCACTCCCTCTCTGCCCATGTGGTCTTCTTTAGCCCCCTCAACCTTGTTACCACCTTCCCATTTGAGTTGCCAGTAAATAAACGATGGATCGAATTACCAGTCATTTAAAGCTAACAATGACTGTTGCTATCGGTTACATAGCTGGCAAAGAAACCCAAACAGTCTAAAGGGCATGAAGCTAATTTCATTTTCAATTTTCAACAGTGGTTAACCGTAGACTCAACACCTGGTCCCACCTAAATAAAGATACTGCTGTTTATTTTAAGAAGTGGTTGCTGGCGTCCAAAACTAAACCAACCCTTTATCACTGTTTTCATTAATTCACCTTTCTGTTAAAGCTGCTGACCCCTTTTTTAAAATGTATACGTCATGTATAGTGTTCCAATGTTGGACGGCCAGACTAAACGTGGGCAAAATCTCAGATTATGAGGTAAATGTATGTTGGAGTAATCCCAGGATGAGTCTGCAGAGGGCGCTAAATGGCTTGTTCTGTAAGTCACATGATAGTTTCCCCGATTTGAAACCAAGACATTGACATAGGCTCTCTTCTCCCAGCACTGGAGAGCAGGCCTCCCCTGGCAACACTGCAGCTTTCTGCCCCCTGGAAGACTTCCACAGAGCTGGCCAATCAGAAGAAAGTGGGCATCTGGGGAGGGGGGCCTTAAAGAGACAGCAGCTGAAACAAATCATTTCAGGCAGAGGCTGAAATCAGGGTTTTTACTGACAGATAAATAAAGAGTTTCATGAGCTGCAGATCATGCAAAGCTACTCTAAAGGTTTCACAGACTGACAACATGAAAGGTGAACATGAGGACAATATGGGATCTTTACTGTGACATTCATGTCTTGGGTTGAGTAGAGCAATAAGCTGTCTTGTCTTTTTTCATGTGCTTCACTCTGAAGTAACTTCATAAAAAGACAGTGTTATTCTCAAGCGCTGCAGTGTCAGTGTGAACGGGTTCATAACACAGTTGTATTTTACAACACACCCTCTTAATGTAATTTCTCTCACTTTAAGCCTTAATTGCTGCTGAAAAGCAAAGTAACAAATCTCAGACGCTCAGCAGCATTAGAGAAACTCAATAAGAACATAAAGACATTTGGAATAAGCCACATAACCTTCGAGGCTAACAGAACAGGACCTGGACATTTACATTTCTCTAAGGTGCTCTTTTTAAAGTGGCACGAAATGAAAAATGAATCTTTCATGTATTCCTGAACGTGGTGTTAAAAGTCTTGCGGCTGAGCAGACTAGTATAGTGGTAAATCGATTTAGCTCTTCTATCCTTTCTTACTGCCTTCACTGTCAAGGCATCTGCAGGATTAAAGGTCACATATTCTTCTCCTCTCCATCAAGTTTTAATAAGTGTCAGTCTGTTTTTGATCATGTCTATAAACCCCTCTATTTCAGCCCTGCTCAGAACAGGCTGTTTCTGTGTCTGTACCTTTAAATATGTAAATGAGCGGTGTCTTACCACGCCCCCTCTCTGGAAGGGCTTGAGTGTCTCTGGCTTTCTCTCTCCATGTCCTATTGTTTACGGTGAGAAGGCAGACTCAGAGGGCAGAACAAACACCTAGCTGTGGGAGTGTCACCCACCTGGGGGAGGGGTTACTGCCCTTTGTGATGTCATGAAGGGAAAATCTCCAAACGGCCTGTTTGAGCACACATTTTCTGAAAAGTGGAGCAGGCAAAAGACGGAGAGGATGGACTTTTCTCATCATTGTGGGGTTTGTAGACTGACAAGAGACACATATTAGAGTTAGAGGAACAGGATGAAGGGGATCCTGTACAATATTTGATCTTTAAATCTTGTCATACCGAACTGAAAAACAAGGTGTTGTAGATTTGGCTTCTACTCGGTGCACAGCTTGATGGCCTAACTAGTACAAAACACAGCATGCCACAAAATCTACAGTTCATGGTCATTATATCATCTATCGTCTCCTCTTCTTTTCTCCTCCCTATTCCTGCCTCTCCGTCCTGCTCCTTCACTCCCTCCTCTCATCTCTAATTCCCTTTCTCCCTTCCTCTGCTCCACATCACTCTGCTCTTGGCAGCTGCTTCAATGTTTTTTTTTTATTTATACGTGCATCTATTTAAAGATCTAAAGCGTCTTGAACCCGCCAACTGGGGTTGTTGTCAGAAAATGTGATGCAGACTCTGTGAACCGGACGTCTTGTGTAAACCTGCTGAACCTGCGCGCTGTGGCATGGCTGCAGACGATGCTCAGAGATGTGGAAGCAGGAAAAAGTAGGCTACTGGGTTAGTCTAGAATATGTGATGTGCTTATTTAAGAGCATCAGTCGGGGACAAGGTGCAGAGGGTTCATCCTTGCAGGTGCAGATGACACTGCTGATGTTGTGCTGAGATTTTAAATGTTTTAGCATAAAGATAAAAGAACTGAACGACCTGTAATGATGTGTTTTATATGTGTTTGTGTTTCTGTGTTTCTCAGCACTGGGAGGTGTTTAAGGTGATAACTGAGGTGTTCATCCTGGTGCCTGCTCTGGTTGGACTCAAAGGAAACCTGGAGATGACCCTGGCTGCTCGCCTCTCCACTGCTGTAAGAAGGTTTTAAAGCTTTGTTTGTTGAATTACACGATTGCCAGTTATATTAATGCATCATATTTTACAATATTTTACCTAAAATTGCCTACATAGATAGAGTCAATCAGGCTAACATGATTAATTTCATTTGTTCCACTCATGGTAAAGTGTTGTTTGGGTTATCACAGAAAGGGATTTTGCAGAAGCTGCCCCCTGGAGGATTTGAATGTTATGGCTTTAACATTTTTTAAACATATACCTTAAAACAGCCTGGGCTTTAGATACTTCTATGCAGTCTATGAAATGACCCTGTCTTTGTTTGGGACAGGCGTCCACACAGACGGCTCTCTACAATGTTTTGGATTTGGACTGCAGTACTGCGATACCTTTTTGTTTAGTTATTCTCTAACATTCATGACGTTTGAGTAGTTATAACATGAACTTTTTGTCAACTCTTCCTATAAAATAAATCTATATTTGAATGTTTGAAAGTGCTCATGTAAGTGTGTGCATGATGCGTGATGTGTTCAGGCCAACACAGGCCAAATGGACGAACCTGATAAACAGTGGACCATGGTGTGCAGCAACCTGGCCCTCATACAGGTAAGATAAAAACCTCACACAGCTTACCATAGTATCTGTGTGGAGTAAATATTAAAGAACATCTACTTTATGGTTTTATTAACTAATGATTGTTAATCTTTTCTTTTCGCTCCCTGCAGGTTCAGGCGACGGTGGTGGGCTTCCTGGCAGCTGTGGCCGCCGTGTGTTTAGGGGCGATTTCTCGAGGGGGCGTTGAACTGGACCAGGCAGCGGTTCTCTGCGCCAGCAGCATCACCACTGCCTTTGTAGCTGCTCTGTCCTTAGGTAAGCTACTTCAATGAACTCTGTAACACATCTCTTAAATTAAACTGAATATCAGTTTGTACAACTCTCAGCACAAACGCTCTGCTCCTAAATACTCAAAATGTTACAAACAATAACTCAAAATGAGGTCATAACATTTCTATTAAACCACTAAAAAGCCATAGGTTCCTCGCTGAGATTTTGTAATTTAATAATAAAAGGTTGTTATTCTCTCAGGTAGTAACTTTTCTTGTCTAAGCAGAGTTTGTAAAGTTAATCAGAATTATGTGTCACTTTCCACCTCTGAGACAAAGCTGTACAGGTCATCCCGATCGGGGGGCACTGGCAGCCTAGTGGTTAGTGCACATGCCCCATGTACAGAGGCTACAGTCCTCTAAACAGGCAGCCCGGGTTTGAATCTGACCTGCGGCTCCTTTCATGTCATTCCCCGCTTTCTCTCCCCCAGATTTCTGACTCTGTCTGTTGTTGTATCTCTAAATAACTGACAAATAAAATAAATAAATGTATTTCTCCGGTCCCCTCCCTGCAGGCCTGGTGATGATCGGCGTCATCATCGGCTCCAGGAAGGTGGGGATCAACCCTGACAACGTGGCCACCCCCATCGCTGCCAGTCTGGGGGATCTGATCACGCTGTCCCTGCTGGCCGGGGTCAGCAGCACGCTCTACGAGTACATCGGTGAGCAAATGTTCACATCGAGATTTATTCTTCCAAAAAACAAGCAAAGTGTTGATATCCTGGTTTGTAGTCATACAAGATGAGTTGTAACATTTTTAATAAGTATTTGAATTTCCCATGCTGAGAATCAGAACACAAGATGGCAGCAAATGTCACAGTTATTCCCTTGGACATCTATTCATGGTGTGTGTATCCATGAGTGTATGTGTGTATTTGTCCTGCACCTCATGTGTTAGCTCACCGGTCTTTGTTGATTTCTTGTTGACTTTATCTCAGTGGCGTGGCCTGTATTTGTACTGCTCTAAAGAAAGTGAGTTTTATCCCCTGTACTCTAACGTCAGTGTAAAAACAAAAAAAAAGTGTTTCTCCATGTGTAAGTGTGTGTAATATAAAAGTATACATGCATGTATGATGAGGTGGAGTGCAGGATTAAAGCTGACCTAAAGCCAGAGATTATCACCCGTTTAAAACATCACAAACACATGCACAGAAGAAAAAAAAGCGCAGTGTTTTATAAGCGCTGGCTGTCAACCAGACATGCAGACTACTGTGTGTCAGTAAGGCTAGCTATCATCTGTATTATTAAACATGAAGAATTTTCTCTGCACAGCCTGTGAGCTGCAGCGTGCTTCACATGCGCTCAGAACCCCGAAGAGAATCAACGCTGATTTTAAACAAACAAACAAACACTGTGTGAGCTGCTCATAAAAACTGAATAAGACGTCCCAACTTTTCTGCAACATGTCACAGGAAACAAATATACAATGAGTAGGAGAAGTTTCCAAAACATTTTTCATGAGCAACAAAAACTGTTTTGAAATGCAAATGAATAAAACTACAGACCTGTGATTTCAGAGATTAAGAGAGATGAATCCTGAATCAAAGAAAATAAAACATTTCACAGCTCTTAACTTTTTTTTACAAACGTCTTTCTTCACCGTCATTATGAAGAGGATTAACAAGACTGCCTGTGTTTCTCTCCACCTGTCCCTTTTTAGATGTCTGGTACCTGTCCCCACTGGTGTGTCTGGTCTTCCTGGCTCTGATCCCGCTGTGGGTTCTGGTGGCTCGACGGCACCCTCAGATCAGGGAGGTTCTGCGCTCCGGGTGGCAGCCCGTTATAGTCGCCATGTCCATTAGCAGGTATGCACTCAAAATCCACTTGATTGTGTTTAACACTAGCTGTGATTAAAGCGCCTGTGAGGACCTTTTTGTGTGTGGTGATTTTAGCGCCCCCTGGTGGACAATCCCTGGCTATTTCAGCCACATGTGAATGTGTCCTCGGGCAAGACACTTGGGAAAGTTTCTCCCTCTGCTTCGTTGGCAGAGTGTGAATGTGTCTGAATGGGATTAGTTAACACTGATGGACACAACAGCAGTTTGTAATCAAATAGAGATTAAACTAAATGATCAGTGCAGAGGAGAGAGAGCCGTGTGATCCGTCCAGGTCGTAAAGTGTTTAATAAGATCAACAAGTCAGCACTCTGAATTTGTCATTAAATCCGTGAAAACAGAATATCAGCCTGGAGCTCAAATATTTCTCCTGGCATGTGGCTCCTTTTCATTTCCTCTGTGTTTGTGATTTCCAGTTTCGGAGGCCTCATACTGGACAAGACAGTGAGCGATCCCAACTTTAAGGGAATGGCTGCCTTCACACCCGTCATCAATGGTAAGCAGATCATAAAATGATGGGAGAGAGAGGGAAATCTGCAATTCAGCAGTTTTTCAAGTGTTGTTGTCCAGAGTTAAAGTAAAGAAAAAATCTAATTATCAGCAGATGTTTATTCTCAGTCTTGTAATTATTTATTGAAGTTAAAGACTTCCATTACAACAAATGTAATATTCTCAGGTAGCTTGCAGTGTAGCTATACAAGCAGTAAACGTACGTGCTAACCCTGCAGTTGAGCCGAGGAGGAGGGGCGGAGTTTGAATGTTGTGTTTACAAGCTGTGAAGAACATTTCTCCTGACTCGACCTCGAACACACAGCAGAGCTCAGAATGAATTAAATGAAAGCCGATAGACTCGGTCAAACATTGAAAACTTGCTCTTGTACAAAAATTAAAGTTTCATTGGAAGTACAGGATGTGCTGGTTGGGTGCATCTTCCATGTATCTGAGCAGCACACTGACTATAAGCCAGACTCCACAGTCAGAACAGAATAATAATAACTTTAAGTTCTGCAGCAAGAAGCGATGTTGAGTGCATCTCTGATCCCCAATAACACAACTGTGCTTCTTTTAATGACTTTTTATTGAGTTTCCTCTTTCCAGTAACTGACTGAACAACTGCCAGTTTCTTCTTCCTCCCTGAAACTCTTTTTCTTACTCACACGTTGTGTCAGGAGGGGTCGTGCAGTTTTCTGTAGTGACTCATTCAGCTGAGGGTAAGAAGTGTGTGATGTCAGACAGTTACAGTAAATACTGCTGAGACGTCACAAACCTAAAGAAGATGAGTTTGCTTTTTTATCTTGTATTAAAATGTGTCCTCGGTTTCTAGCAATTGACTCTGAAGGTGAAGTTATTCTAAAGCAGATTTATTAAACTCACTTTCACCATTTTTGAATTGTGGAAATAAAGACGTAGAAATGTATCGCAGTATGTTTGAAAGCAGCAGAAGTTTCTGATGTACAAAGGACATCATGTAGAGCATCTCAAAAGGTAAATGTTTATCATGATATTAAATCAAGTAAGAAGTGAAGGCGCTCCCTGCTGGCCGTTAGAAAGAATGCACGGTAAAGGATTTCCACACAAATAAACCAAGAGGCCATGGTATGGTCTGATATTTAATAAAAGCATAAAGGACATTATGTTTCTTTAAGAGAAGGAAGATCATGAGTCCAAGATTAAAATGTAAAGATAGAAGGAGAAGAAAAGAAAACAACATGATTAAGAGTGTATTTGTTTTGTGATCTAACCCATTTCTGATCCATTAAAGCTTAAGTTGACCTTTTAGATTTACATGCAGCTCTTATTTTTCTCAAGACAAAGCTCTAATCACACATATGAATCAGAGAATGAAACTATGAGTCTGTTGTTACTTTACTAACATAAAAAGTGGATTTTCTCCCCATAAAGCTGCTGAATGATGAAAACTGCCCGGAGACACAGCAGAGGAGTGGCGGCCAAAGAGAAGCAGCTTCAGATGTGAAGCGGTCTTGGCTGGGAGGCGATGCATGCAGGCATCCTCTGAGCATAGGAGAGAAGTCGATATAAACCACTAATGGTGCACACCCAGCGTCCTGGCACAGCCGACAGCAGCCACTAATAACCATCCCGTCTCGCTGTCACTGGTTCTCATTTAGTCTCTGCCCATCTCCCTGCTGTGTCTCTATTCCTCCTTTTCTTTTTCTCTCTTTCTTTGCAACATTCTGATTAATTCCAAATTCACATATCTGGTTTGAATTTCCCATTCTCCCTCCCTGGATCGCTTATAAACCCATATTATATTTGACTAAATGTTCCCCCAAGTGTTTTCCATCTTGGAAAAAGGAAACAATCTGTGCTGTTGTTTGGGGGTATACTCTTGGAGAGGTGTTTGATGTAACTGAATTGGGCTCATTTCCTTGTCAACACCTAAATTAAAATGGACTGTGGGGATCTGGAAAGAACTCGTTCTGCATTCAGGCGAACTGCGGCTTTTTGAAGACGTGAATCAAACAAAAAGGCTTAACCTAAGAAGGAGAGAATAAAGACTTATCTGACATCTCTTCCACGGTTTACCCTGGTGAACTCCGGAGCAGGACACATCTGGGCCCAGTTTAAAAAAAACATGTAAATGACTTCTCAAGCTGATCCAAAATATCAGAGCAGGCACCTAATGGTTTTTACACAAGCAGAGTCACATTTCACTTTTAGAGCCGTATGGCTGCATATGGTTTATTTTCTTTCCATATGCACGTGTCCCTTCTCTCTTTCGATGATAAATGGGGTGCAGCTCTAGTTTGGGTTTTGGTTCTGACTCCACAGGCCAGATTTCAGATGTTCTCCGGACCTCCTTGGCTTCTTAGTATGGACTCCGCTCTCTGGCTGAGTGAAGGACGGAGCCAAGCTTGTGTCATTACTTGGCTTAATTTGTGTGCAGGCGATGAAAAGGTGGAGGGTAACTGATACTGAACTCGTTAACTCTCCCTGAGCAGAAAGAACAGAAGAGGTTATCAAACCAACATCCATCGTCAAGGCTTGCCTGTTAATTATCGTGAGGCCTTTGTACAAACATGATAAACTCTTCTGTTTGTTTTGAGCGATATAAAGTTAATGTGGCCCATCTTCTCTGTCCCTCTGTGCAGGAGTCGGTGGGAACTTGGTGGCTATTCAGGCCAGCAGGATCTCCACGTACCTGCACTTCTGGAGCATCCCCGGGGTGCTGCCCTACAAGATGAGGCAGAACTGGCCCAATCCCTGCATCACCTTCTTCTCCTCAGGTAGCAAAGGCCTTTCTGAAGGCAAACAGCAATAATACACATCATCTCTCAACCAAAGCGCTCCTCCGACAGGACTCAGATTTAAACAGAAGGATTTTACCAGCACTCCCACTTTGAAAAGAAGTTTCAAATAGCACCATGATGTGATAGCATCTACCCGCCCTGTCTCAAGGACAGAAGATATAGATAAGACATACATGTTGCCATTTGTATGAATCAGTGATTAGCGCCTATAATCCAGTGGGCAGGACGTGGTCTTAAAATCCAAAAGCCATAATCCTTTGTGGTGACTATTTTAAAGCAAACTCAACATTGTCCAAAGCAGTCACCGCTGAGGTGTGAGTTATGGAACTATTTCTGGACGGCGTTGCATCAAATAAATGTCTGATACTCTTTTCCACCAGAGTCTGTTTATTTAGTTCATGATCAGGATCAATGATGTGCATAACTGTCTCATTACATCCAATACATAATTAAACATGCACAGCCTACCCCAAACTCCACCCAGTGTTCAGTGTCGGTATTACACTGAAATACAAAGTCAGTGTTGTGTTGGGTGTCTTGCAAAGATAAAAAAAAAATTGGCTCCAACAATCCCCTTTAGAACACGCACTCAAGCACACTTTCCATGGCAGTAGTTTCCTTTACCTGCAATTACTGCTGCAATAACTGGAAAAGCCAAATTGTAATGGCCTTTATTTTTGGGTTTCAGTTACTACCCACTTATACAGTATTAGGCTAATTTTCCCCGCTCTATGTTTGGCTATCGGGGCTGTTTCTTTGTGAACTGGAGTCTATTTCAATGAGGCTCATTTACCTGGAAAGGGACCAATTTTCCACAAACTGTATTTATGCACATTTTCTGATTAAGATATGAGCTACTACTGGAGAAGCTTTAAGCTACGCATCGCTATATTAAAGGCTTTATATGTGATTTTTCCCACTTAAATGTAATATAAATCAAGTATATCCTCTGAAAATAACTCTGTGAGTTATGACTGTCTACAATGGGTGTAACACCCGAGTCCCACTGTCTGTGATGCTTTCAGAGTTTTCAGAGTCCTATCTTCAGTTTGTTTACATCGCCAGGACGGCCAGCTGACTTCTCCCCTCGTGTATAAAAGTTGTTTAATTAAGGGACTAGAGAAAAGAAGAATAACATACTGTACTCACTGCTTAACTGTGTTTCTAGATCACGCTCATTTCAGGTAAATTTACATGCAGTGTGAAGATACGAGCATAATAAAGATCGCTAGCATTAGCATGCTAACACAACGATCAAAAAATCACATATGAAGCCTTAAAGGTGCTTTAAAGATTGATCTTTGTGCATGTTCAGCTGACATAAAAGCTGCAGAATGCTTTAACTTAAGTTCACTTTTCACAACTCAGTGAGTAGAAGAAAGGGAATCTATACGTACCAAACTGAATGACATACTTGTCTCTGTCTCCCAGGGGTGAACTCCAAATCAGCTCGGGTGCTCCTGATGCTGGTCGTCCCCGGTCACCTGGTCTTCCTCTACGCCATCTCTCTGCTGCAGGGAGACGAGGCGCCAATCTCTGTAGCCTTCACCGTCTGCTACCTGTGTGCTGCTGTGTTACAGGTAAACTGACCCGACAAAGAGTTTGTTTGAGATGGATCACAAACACAGTTTAGTTTCTCATGAACTCATTGGCCCTCACTTAGCTGGTCCTGGAGTTTCACAGGACATGAAAGCAGTCACCAGCAGGTCATGAGTGTTCAGTCTGGTGGTAAAAATGGCTGCTTTCACCTGTTACCTAACTGTGAAATGATCATGTGCCAGGTGTTGGTATTTCAGCAGCTCAGTGAGATACAGATTTGTTCCAGGACAGAACCAAAAAGTACACCAAAGCCCTACCACGCTAACCTCTCTGAACTCGTCAACAGGCCAGCTGTGAACAGTTTGAGAAGATCTGAATCTTGTTCAACATGCAATGTTAGACAGCGCTGTGAGGCGGATTCGCAAAATTTAATTATGTGTCCTTGGGCACCAAGTCAATGGTAAACTTTATATTCTTTTGGGGATCAACATCCGATTAAATATCAGCCTGAGTCCAGAAAAGATGACATGGTTGTTAAATAGTTTTCTGCTCTAAAGACTCATGGGAAGCTGATGTTGAGATCACAAGCCTGGTTCATCAGATATCAAACACATAATAACTCCAGAGAGCTACGTTGAGCAGCTGAGCCGAGCTGAAGTATAAGTGGATCGTACCACCATTATGTTATCAAATGAACTGAAGGACCCCTCGGTCAGCACCAACCAGCATGTTCCAAATAGACCATAGATATGACTTTGACATGGCCACTGAGGCGACTCCACTGGTTTCAAAAATCAATCGCTCTTTATTTTTAGCACCAATATTTTAGCACTTTTTTTTTAAGCACCAATTTATAATGAATGTTATCTTAAGAAACTTCACAAAAAGCAGGTCCTGACTGTACTTGTTCATATTACTGACAAAGACCCAACATAAATCCACCTTGAGCAAAAACATTTGGCAGAGTAACAGGGGCAAAAAAAAACAAGCTTTAAACAGTCAGAGGGCTCAAGCAGAATCCAAATTTGCTGATAACGTTTCTCCATTTTCTCCAAATCCATCTTTGACATCTTGTCGTAAAGCGCTTCTGTGCAAACTGTTGTGAACCTAAGTACGGGGTGATTTAAATACGTGACTGGTGGAACACAGAGTTCAACACAAATGTTTATTAAAATGTAAAGTTGTTTTTCTTTTGGCACATGAATAACACACTTCTCCCTCTAGGTGTCCATCTTACTTTATGTTGCTGACCTCATCATCCGCTCGATGTGGAGAAGGAGTCTTGACCCGGATAACTTCTCCATCCCCTACCTGACCGCCCTGGGCGATCTGCTGGGCACAGGCTTCCTCGCTCTCTGTTTCCGCTGCGTCTCATGGGTTCAGAGTCTGGGTCTCTGAACGCCCCCCACTTCCCCCTCCCCCCTTCATCACTGAACTCTTTGCCAGCCATCTACTTACTGCATCGGTTTGTTTTACATAATGCCCAGAGAAGCTTTATCGGACAATAAAGCATTTTATCTGATGGTTATCACTGGACCGGTTCATACAGAGGAATAAATTCAAACTTTAACTACGATGGATAGACACCTGACCGTTTACACATCCATCTGTGTGAAGGGTTTCTACCTGATCCGGCTAATCTTAGTATTTTATTTCAGGCCTAAAGACTTTAAAGTATTCACAAGTGTCCGTCTTCAGCCCTTTAGAGCATCTTCTCCAATACAGTCATCTTTGTTTGCTGGCTCTGAGCTCATCTCGTCTCTCAGCTCGTCTCTTTGCTTTCATCAGAGGAATATGTAGCAAACTTACATTATTGCAGCAAGACAGAATCATTGCTCAGAGTTTGGGACTTTTGTTTAAACATGTTGATAAAACAAAGACTTCCAGGCCGTCCATGTGTGGGCGGGCTGAACTATGCAGTAATACAGGAGTTCGTTATATGGAGGAGAGTCGCTGTCCAGTACTTGAGTTTAGGATGATCATAATTTATTTAAATTAAGAGGCATGGTACTTAACTGTAACACACGGAGGAATGTTTCATCATCTCATGAAAAAAACTTGAATCCTAACGTTTCTACACATAATGTTCATCATGTTTATTTTCTTAAATCATGTTGGAGGGGCTGTAACAGGTGAGCAGCTGGCTGTACAATTCAGAGGAGGAAGACCTTTTTAATGTTTATGATGTGAGGGGACTTCTAATAAGAACTAACAACAAAGACTTTTTGACTGACCGCTGGGGTTAGTCAAAGACCAAAGAAGGGGCCATCAGAAGTGTGATGGCCCCTTCTGGTAAACATAGGGTGATGGTTTTGCTCTGACACAAATTTCTGTGAAAGCTAGAAAAGAACTGTGTGACATTTTAAGAAGCAGGTGACTAAAGCCCCGTTTCCACCAAGTAAGGCAAGGTATGTCAAGATATGCATTTATTGGCGTTTTCCACAGTCAAAAGTTGGTAATGATAGCCAAAAAAACTATACGTACCCTTCTGTTGGGGTGCTAAGCGTACTGACGAGACCCTAAAGGTTGGAGCTAGACACACTGCAGTCTGTTGATTGGTTGAAAGAATTGACACATCCCTGCGACGTAGCTTAGCACAAAGATTATTAATAAATAACACGTAATTACGAAATGTAATTACGACAAAAACATGATTGAAGAAACATGCAACATTTTCATGGTTATATTCAGAACTTTTTCTTGGCAAGGAGCTTTTTTTTGTATCTATTGAACAAACGATATGTTCATATGTGGGCTGTGCTTTTGTGTCGAAGCGCGTGAAATCGGACAATGTCAGGGTACCAGCTTTCTCCCTGTTAGTCTTTATGCTAACTTTAGCCACTGTTACAAACATACACATTTGTATTAATCTTGACAAGAAGTAAATATATACATAGTTTCCAAAGTATCAAATTCACCAGGTTCTGCTCATTTTCAAATCAGTTGGTAAAGCTACTGAACACATGTTAATCCGTCCAACAGCTGTTTCCTCTACCAAACGTACGCCATTCTGGACAAGTCGATTACATAGCAAGTCATAAAGATATCATGCAGGTTGGGGCGTCTCTGTGTCCTGCCACATTGCCAAAACTCTGACTTGATCCCTGAGATCCATCACAAAAACAGAATTCTCCACAATTTCTAATATGCAGATGATGTGCTGCTTTATGTTGCAGATACAGAAAGAAGATAAGGAGTAAAAAAAACAGCGCATTATTATAATTGATTGTTTTTTAGGTTCTCCAACATAACAGAGACTTTGTAAAGGTCTAATTGTGTCCCGAAGCACTGGCGCCCAGGCAATGTGTCACCTCCTCTAACAGCCGTCACAAGAATTAAAAAAAACCATCAGTGAACTGATGCAGAACATCTATGTTGGTCTCTCTCACCCATCATCTCAGGTTTATGTTCTGACATGGACTCTGTAGCTGCAGATGATTTGGGGTTTTCCCTCACTACTTGATACTAATAGTCCCTTTAATGAAGGGTTTGTCAAAGCCTTAATGATTTAGTGTCAGAACCATAAAACCTCATCATTACAGCCGTGACATTCACACTGATATCAACAGTTTAGAACTCAACGTTAGCTGAGGTTAGCTTAGCTTGGGTTAATTTGCGCCTGATTGCGTTTCTCTATTGGCTGTATATGCACTTACAGTACACCACGACAGAGACAAAACATACACACAGAAATATTATTGTGATATCCTAATAAATCTTCAGTTTACACAGAGACACAAAAGAATGACACATTTATGGATAAAAAAAAAAACTGCATTTCTCACCCCCCCAATGTCCACATATTCAGTGGGTGCAGCGGTCCATCAGCACCGCGGTTTTCCTCCGTCGGACGGTGCGCGCCCTGTGAGTGCAGCCATGAGCAGCTGTAGCTCGTGATGCAGACCGACCGCAGTGTGCACAGTATGTGGGGATTGGGGGTAAAAATGGCAGGTAGGGAGAGAGCACAGAGTCTATTTCTCTATTTTTGGTTTTAAAGTTAAAGTCCTGAATGTGTTAAAGAGAAATGTTTCAAAATAAGAGTGTAGAAATGTGTTAATGCACTCATGAAGTCAAAAGGTACATTTTGGCTCTTTGCTATCACTACTGTAGTATGATCTATTTTTAAAGAAGAACCTCATAAACACTGATGTCTGAGGGTTTTAAAACCAGCCTGTCTCGTCAGTCAGCGATTTTTCATTTTAAAGTATTTCAGTGTTAAAAGTGCTTTGCTAAAAGCTTTTATTGTGACACTGTTACACAGTACTTTTTACACTAGAAGCAGATGAAATGTTGAACTCTTTGAATCACAGTTTCTGTCACTGTCTGTATGTGATCTATGTGTAAACTGTGACACTGTGAGACGTAGACCACAGCTAAGGTTGTACCAGCACATCAGTGTGTCTTAATCAGCGGGGCTGGACGATCCATCATGTTGCATATTACAAATCTGGCACATTTACAAAGGTAATGATTGTAACAATAACCTTTTTAACGAGTCATTGCATCTCTGACGGTTCTTGTGTGATGTTACTTGGGTTCTAAATGATCTGCTGAAAGTTCTGTTCTGGAGGTAGATATATGAAAGTGAAGTCTTCTATTTTAAAGTTTGAATAATGATCATCAAACATTTCACTTCAGAAATGTTTGATGTTCAGTAAAATACTTTTTTTCACTGCATTGCTGAGACTTATTACGCAAGACTGAAGGCGGACTTGTTGACCTCTTTCAAAGGTTTGTGTGGCCGCTCCGAGCGAAGTAGTAGAAGGCTCTACTACACATTAACAACACATCTGTAAGCGGTGTCAGTTTTCTCCTGTAACACTTATCATGTACATTTTGTTATTTCTGCAGAACCATCTCTGTAAAACAAATCGTCCAGCCCTTTAGAAAAACTTAGTATGTACAGGAGCTGAAGACCTGTTTGCAAACTTGCACTGTTGTTTTAATAGTAGTTTAAGGATGCCTTGAACGAAAGTCAATGTCAATCGTGTCTTATCTTAAACCTCATTTACAAAAGGTTAGCTTCATTTACACGTTGCATCCCTTTTCTCTCTTCTTCTGTTCTGTAAGCAAAGCGCTCTGTACTTCAATGTCGACACTGCCACATGAAGACTTCAAAAGCCTTTAGTCTCGAGTCATGCTGTGCTCACTGTCACCATGCTTTCACACACACTGTGTCTCGTGTGTGTGTGTTACGATCAAGTGGGGAATCAAAGATGTGACAAATATTTGGTGTTTGTGATTTTGTGGCAATGAAGTTATATTTTAATAAAAATCAACAGTGTTAAGAAGTTGGTGTCCTTCATCTAAATCGGCATAAAGAAAATATATGTGTTTATAATTATTATGATTTCTTTCTTTGGTGCCATCTTGTTTCATCTCTGCATCAGCATCAGGGATTTTTTTTAAATGTTAAGACCACTTTTTCATGTGGAGGACTCTTCAGTGAAAATCTCAAATTTACTTTTGAACCATGCGTACGAGTAGACAATCAACCGGCTGCATCTGGAAAGTAAATGTTCACACACTTGCCCATGTACAACGCGTGTTACTGTGAGGATTCCTCTAGAGGGAGCACTATGGATTTTGTTTACCACATTTGGTAAAACACCAAAGTAGAGATTCTGGCGACACTCGAGGTTTGATGGAGGTTTGATGGAGGACTTGATCGACTTTCTTCAACACTTCACTCTGCTATCTCCAATGATGTCACATCCTGTCTCATCCCCATACAACTCTACACCAAATCCAGCGCAGGATACGCAAAGCTGATGACCTGCGTTTGCATAGTTAAAAGCAGGTTTTTAAATATGTTTCAGCTACATGAATCTTTCAATATAACTTGAGGAGAACACGGCCATCTTTGTCACGTAAACATCTGGTCCCCCACACAATATCAAGAAAAACAAAGTGCCTATGTGAGAAGAACAACAAAGAAAACATACCACACTCAAACATTCAGTGCTGCTTTTAAAGGAAATGTATTTGGTGAAACTTCAAGATTACCAACACATCAATCATCACATCAGCAAGTGCACTTCAGTTTTCAGTTATCACATTCACAGCTTCTTCGTGGCACAGATAAACTGGAGCATGAGAGATTGTGTCAGATTGTGCTGTGTTCACTTTTTCACAATGACTCACCGGGTAACAGGGTAACATTTCTACAGAAACGTCTGACTAGCTGAGGTCGTGCACAGCAGCGTCGGGGTGTGTGAGATGGATGTACAGCATGTGTCATCCCTTTGAAAGAACAAGCTACTTGTCGTTTGTATCCTGTATTTTTCAGGGGGGAAAAAAAAGGAAATGAAAAGGTATAAACGTGTACTTTGTGCAGCATGTCATCGAGCCAGTAAGGATAAATAACATGAAGGGTGTGATTGGGTTTAGCAACTCCCGTCTCCTTGCTAATAATGGTTTAGATCACAGACTGCTACACAGGGGAGCATTAAACTGAAACCCTGTAATCCGTGGCTGCAATCAGAGCCGAACAGAAATGAAAATGTGGCATAAGCAAGATGGCACACATATATCAGGCTTGTGTAGCAGAGGAAGTCACTTATAAAGATACAGCTTTTAACACATTACAGATCCTCACACATTCATATTGCACTTTTTCAAAGCAGAGTTTTCCAGAGTTGGCTCGTCTCGACATGTCAGACAATATTTTTCAGCAAGATGAAATAATTCACAAAAGACATCTGGAAGTTAAAGACATGAAATTAAACACAGTTTTCCTGCAAGTTCAGAGCCAACGTGTCTTAACATGCACTCTGCAAGAACTGAGAACAGAAACTAATATCCTGACATGTCTCTAATAAAGACAATGTTGACTTTTGATATTCTCAAAGATAGCGGCAACTAGATTTTCCAGATCAGTTTGACTGTTTAACACAAAGATGTTTTGCACGAGGGAGGAGACTGTCAAATGTGGGGAAAAAAGTAAACTGTTTTAATAGGGAGTGTAGGTTATCACTTATGGCACACTCAACATAGGCCTATTAGCCCTGTACCGAGCCAAATAATTATTGTCCCCCCCCTTCCTCATTTCCCCCCCTGGCCTGCGATCACATTGCTCCAGGCCAGGAGCACGGTTACCTCTATACGTCATCAAGACGTAATAGGACACTTTGTTTACAAGAAGCCCAGTCTCAGAGTCTGCACTTTGGAGAACAACACAGAGAACATGACGCTAACGTCACTGACGCTGTGGCTTATTTTCAGTTGTTTTGGTCTCTACCACTCCTGGACTTCTGAATTAGGCAAGGCAGCTATTTTCACTTACAGTATGTAACGTTACATCATGTCCGTGCTGCGTACCCGTGCTCGAGCAACTGTACCGTGCTGAACCTCACATCTTACAACCGTGTCAGGGTCATGGAAGTGAACTGTACAGAGCACTCAAACCGGTCACATAAACTGGACTTTGGGGGTCAAACGTGCTTGGGAACCGTACGGATCGCCGAGTGTGAAAAAGCCCTTAAAGAGTAAATAAGTATTTTAAAGATTTTTCTCCCCTTTGTTTTTAGAAAGTAGTACTCCACTAATTTAGCATATAACTTTTATAACACTAAACTCAACGATAGAAAGTTTAAAATGAAAGAGTAGGCTCGTAGTTCCTCTGCATCTCTGAGGAGGGAAATAAAAAATGTGTTTCATTGGCTGCAAAATGAAATTTAGGATGATTGATCAACATATTTTGGTTTTAAAAATACCATAAAGACTTTCCAAAAACTTAGCAGAACCTTTTTGGTGTCTGAAGTAAGACATCCAATCATCTGAAAACACATTTAGATCTGGATAAAATGGTGGTGGTCCCCTTTAATCAGCCTCTGAACTGTATGCAAACGCTTGTTAAATCTGATCTTTTGGCAGTTTTGGGACATTAATAAGAATTTTCCTACGCTAACCTCCGAATTATTTACCATAAAGTCTCACAAAATTCGCAGAACAAGGCCCCGCAGTGGAGATGAGTGTAGGTGGATTAACCCCTCATGTATCCTTCATTCATTCCAACAAGGGGAGCTCTGAGCCGGGGTAGTTCTGGGCCGGACCCAGCCCTGACCACAGCTATGTGGTTGTTTGTTCAGCCTACCTGCCCACAGCTAAATACAGACAGCGATAGAGGAGGGGTGGCAACACGCTTTACTGGAATGAAGAAGTGACTGAAAGTTTCCCTGGAAGTTACGTGGTAGTTGTCGAAAAAGAAAGATATGACAGGATCCAACTTGTGGACATAAAACATGTTTTTTTAAGATTTCTATTTGGTGTGTGTGTGTGTGTGTGTGTGTGTGTGTGTGTGTGAGCGCGTGGGTGTATGAGTGTGTGTGCCAAAGTAAAAACAGAAAGTAACGTCCTATGAGACGATGAGGACACTCACCCCTTTTCTTTCCATAAAAAAATCATTCTCACTAAATTGTAAGCCCTTATCTTTACAATCACACTCTTCCAAAACAATAAATACTTAAACTGACGTACATAAATAAATTCAATCCAGAGTCTTTGTTCTCTAGGCACTTTAAAATGAGTCTGCTGTGTCAGCACATTCACCTGCATACGAAGGCATGAGGAGTACCTGCTCCTCTGAAGTGTGCCTTTGGTTTATGGCTCATTAGTTCTCAGAAAAAGCAAAGCAAGGCGATACGTTGACTGTAATGGGCACTGCAGGATGCTGGCAGGGCATATTACAGCGACTGAACAGCCACGTGGAACCAACAAGAAAAAGTCAAAAAAAGCTTCCTTGATTGGACAAAGAAACTTACTGGTATTAAGGTGAATAAAAATTCTAACTGCAGCTAAAACTCGAGAGAAAGGAAAAACACATTTAAAAAAGGGACAACCTGCAGCATTTCACTCTAAACGTCAAAACCATTTCCCTCCTGGAAAACGGACACATAAGACAGACTCATGGTGGGATACAGCACAAACTGACTGTTCCACCCAGATCTGGTTTTCTTCCATTCACCGAAATCAAGTCATCCTCAACAGTCAGTTAAGTTGGAGAGTGATTGAAAGGTGCTGGTGACGGGATCGTTCTCGGCAGGGGTGATAGTTGTCCATGGCAACCAAAAAGTGCAAAATACAACAAGAGTCTGACGGGGTTGTGAAACTGTCACAACCAGTCCATCTATGGCACTGAAGTCTGATTTCTTTCCCCTGCCCCTCATCGAGTCCTGAGGTACTCCGGTGTGGAGTAGTTAAAGAGCAGGAAGTCCATTTTATACGTGTTGAACAGTTTCCTCTGGTAGAAAGGACTGATGTGCTTAAAGAAGCGTGCTGCCATGTTTCCATCAGTCCTGGTGCTCTTACCAGATGTTGGAAACTGAAGAATCCCCTCCACTCCAGCCAACCTGAGCACAGCCTGAGAATCCGGCTCCAGGGTCTCATACTTCCCCACCACATCGTAGTGGATCAGACACGGGTGGCAGAGGGAGTGCACCCGCTCCCAGTGCTCGTTAAAAGGTTCCTCTCGTTGCGTCCGTGGATCAACCAGGTACTGCACGAACTCTCGGAAAGAAACGTCGTCCCCTTTCTCCAGCGCCTCGGGCTCCGGGTCGGGCCGGTGCCGTCGAATGATCTTGGTTCCGTAGCGTTTGTGGAAAGCAGTGTTGTAGCTGCGGGTGAACTTGTTTCTGTAGGCGGACACCAGGCGCTCGAAGGGTTCCCGCACAAAGATGAACTTGAGGTAGCTGCGAAGGCGTTTGTTAATCTCAGGGACCGAGAACTCAGAGAGTGTGCGGAGGTTACCTGGCACGTGAGCCTCATTCGCAGGGATGGAGAGAGGGTCTGTGTAGCGGCCGTCACTGGTCAGGACCATAAGGACACGCTTCCAGTTGGTGCACGCCACCTGGAAGTGAGAGAAGGGAGGAAGATCTTTAAAATCAAAGAACATTTTCAGTATGATAACAGGAGAAAGCTGTCATGTCTTTTAACTCGCCTCTCAACAAGCTGAATTATAAACTCATTCATTCGATAAAACCGTCATAGCAGGAGATTCTTCAGACTTGAACACAAGTTTTTAAACTCTGACACTCCTCCCTCCCAAACAAAACATGAAAACCTGCGGGCCCCACAGCCACCACCCCTCGTTGTCCACAGGAAGTTTAACGTTTCCACTGACGTATTAGTCCTGCTTTAAATCATTGTTTGTTTACAATTTAGAAAGTTGGCACCAACAACAATCCTCCAAAACCAGTTAAAAGGAGTACCACAGAGAGCTGTTGCTACATGACTTTGATACTGATTAAGAAAGCAGTTAGGCAGTCTGCGTAGGGTCATTTCTATGAGGACTAATGATGGCTGTTTATTCATATTTATTTACACACACACAAAAAATCTAGGTTCGCTCTCTTTAGGATTATACCTCAGTGGCTGAAGTGTAACCTTCAATTGTATTTAATGCACTTTGATGGTTTTTAAAGGTGAATGAAATCATATTAGCACAATGAGCTTTCACAAAGATACTTTTTACCATGAGGGGTTTTAACTGAAACCAGATGTTTCACAAGATGACCGATGTTAGATCTGATGCCGATGCACATAAATGACACAGTCCTTAAGATCAGATCATACGTTTAAAATGACTCTGAAGTCCGAGGGGAAAATGACATCCTCTAAAAGTGTTAGTCACACTTAAGCTGAAAATATGTGCATCATGTCCGTGTGTTCAGACGTAATGCAGGCCGGATTAGAAGCATCACAGCAGCAAGACAACAATAATTAACCTCAGGTCAATTTAAAAAAAAAAAAAAACAAAGGTCCAAATGCACCTTTCTACTTTATTGTTCAGGGTGTGTTTGCCTTAAGGGTTTCCCTCTGCCCTCCCTCTTTCCATTCTTCACCTTTAAAGGTGCAGCTTTAAAAAGCTCAGGTCTGATATTTGACTAATCACTTGATATTACAGAAACCAACCTTTGGTACGTAGCAGTAAATAAGACTGTGCTGATCATCCACAATGAGGTGTTTGAGATCCTCAGACGATAGCACCTGTCGCTTCCTGGTGTGGCTCAGACACGCCTGCTCCAGAAGCTCCCTGCGGCCCTGCAGGGACCTCTGAGCTGCCAACAGGTCCAGCTGCTTGGAGAGATGTGACCAGGACGATGCAGGGTCGGGGTGGTTGATAAGAGGGGAGAGAGAGAGAGAAGCAGGAAAACCTTTTAATGTTGTTGTCCAGAGTTGTGTGCAGAGGTGAAATCATGTGATCTCTGCACAGAAGTGATCAACATGCTTATTACAAGAACTGAAACTTTTTTTTTTAAAGTAAAGTAACGATGATCTGCAGATATAGGTGATCATTCTCTTTAGTTTTATAACATTAACACTTCACACTACCTCGTCCTTTTCAGGGTTTCTGTTAGTTTTGACTTTTTGCTTGTCGTTGTTGCTTAAATTAACCTGACTTTTCAAATTTTGTTCTTATACATTGTTTTAGTACAAATATCAGTCAGAGTGAGTCTTAGTCTGATGGATAAATTAACCCTGACAACATCATCAGATTTAATCTAAAGGACATAAAATCTGTTTTATGAAGTCTTATGGAAGTCCATTATCTAGCCTCCTCTTGAATGCGGCCATTTCTTTGTTTGATGTTTGTTATCTGTTCTGGGTTCATCAATCTGCTTCTAGTTAAAGTCGATCATTGCTTCATGTCTGGCTGTGTTGCATAAATCCAAAATTCTCACTTCTCCAAATCTCATCTGGTCAGACTGTCATGCAATTCTGTTTAACCAGAATTTGGAACGAGTACTACAGCAGGCACTCTCCTTCACATGTTAGTAACTCTTCATCAGAGCTCATCATCAGACCGACCACACAAACCACAAACTAATATCATGTTGTGAAGTAAACTAAATGTGAGTGTCAACATGATTACAATGAGAGTGGCAACACCCCAATGTCCCAAATGAATTATGGGTATGATGTTTGGAAACTTTGTTTATTGTACATGTGTGCTAACACCACCTTATTAGCACTTACTACCATAATGATACCAATTGGGAGGTATTTGGAAATAATTCATGGTATTGGGCAAATTACATTTTGGGTTTGTTATCCAAATCTGTCTTCAGGATGGACATAAATATTAGTACACATTTTCTTCAATCCAATCCATCTACAGATCAATATCTGCAGAAATATGTTTTAACCAACAGTGACATCGTTAGAGTTGGTTCACCGTCAGAGCTCAAATCTAGCATGCAGGGATTGTGGGAAAATATTCTCTAATTAATCATTCCTTGATTACAAAATTGAGAATCCTCTTAAGAGATCAACATAAAGATAACATGTGGGTGTGTTTGTGTGCATGTGCTCTCACCTGGTCTCCATTGTAGAGGGCCTGCAGTGGACTTCTCCTGATCTTCCCTGGTCTGCTGCCGGTCTTCACACCAGGTTCTACAGTTAAGACAAATTACAAATTCATGAGTGTCAGTAGATCTGTTTCATGTTGTGTCTTATATGAAAACAAACGGACTCTGACTTTGTCACCACTGATTAAAGACAGACCACTTGCGTTTCATCTTTGCAGAAGCGAGTATGTAGGTCACTAACCAGAGACCTTCTTTTTACAATGTGTCCTGTAGTTGCAGAGAGGTTTAAATTACACTATAAAGACGTCTATGCAGAGTTATGGGGGGACGGGTCAGTCAGAGCCAACTTTCCAAAGCCTCCTCAGCTTCAGCCTTTGTCATGACGTGATCCCACTTAGGAAAAATCCTCCTTTCTTTCATTAAGCGTACAGATTCCATAGGAACAGTGTGTTCCTTTCAAACTCTGTGACTCTTACATAAGAACACCTCTACTGCGGATCTTCTTGTTCCTTCTCTTATCTTATCTTACACCGCAAATTTACAGGAAAACAGAGTGTAAAACAAAACAGATCTGGAGCACAGCCAGTGTAAGTTTTCTACCGTTGCATAACTAAACGGTGATAAATATGCACTGATCGCTGGTTAGAACAATGCTGAGCATGTGTCATGATGGACGTGCTGGAGGCTCTGCTGGTTTGAACAAGTTCAAATATCTTTCAGCATAGAATCTGTCCTCCGTCCTCTATAAACACATCTGTCTTCTCCCTCCATCCCCTCCCACAACCCCCCCCCCCTCAGACCCCCCTCCAGGCCTGATGGCAGTAAGTGTTAAGGTCTGCCGCTAATGGAACTGAGTAAGAAAAGTGTTTTGTTTTGCACATGTGGATAAACAACCCTTTGCACTGCAAAAGTCAGCTTTCAAAAAAAAAAAAAAGATGACTTAAGTTGAGCAAAACTTTCAAACATCCAAAATGTACTTCGCTCCTTTCTAGGTCACCGTGGTTACAGCTTAGTTGAAGAAAGAAATGAACCATAGGGAAACATGTCTTTGTCAAACTTGTGTGTAGGTTAAATAATGTCTTGTGGATGTTGTGAAGTTAATTGCACAACGGTTCAAATGAGTCATAATGTCTCCCGCAATGTAAAAAGTGTTCCTTCTATGTTCTGTACAGGAGAAAAAAAGCTATGCTGGGGTCATATTAACAACAGATCTGTGATTTCCATTTGGTCATTAACTGTTCTAAATACTGTTTGTGAAGAAATTATGAGGTGAAGTAACGGAAGAAGAGAAATTGAGACTATAAAAGAACTGTGTCTGAGTTGATCAAAAAGCTTTGAATTGTGGTTATTTGTATTTTAAGGATATTTTAGATAGAAATATTGCAACAAGTCTAATGATCAAATATAAAAACTGCACGGTTAGAGCAACCAGCGTCTGACAAAAAGTATATTTCATCCTGATTGAAGACATTTCATCTAACTTTGATATCACATGTTGCAGTATGCTTTACATTTGACATACGCTGGAATGAGATGAAGGTGGAGGGCTTAGAGGAATGTGCTTTATGTATATCAGCAGAAGGGAATCTACTTGAAAGGGGGCCTATGGAATGATGAGAAAATGACATGCCTTCATATGGAAAGTATATTACTAAGCAGCAGCAAGAAAGTGGAAGGGTTATGCTGTGCGAGTATGAAATCCAGAAGGAGACAGGAGCCCTTTTTCTCTTCCACTGATTCTCTTCCTCCTGCTGAGTTTACATTCAGCAAATAAACCAAACTTTTACTGTTTTCAAATGGCACCCAGATTCAGTAAATCTCTGTGTCAGCTTGTCCACTGTCATTAAAAGTAGAACTACAGTTTGCAAACTCTTCATCTGAATCAAACTGTAAATCAAAACGGCTTCCTCCCATTATGAGAAAGCAGAAAACAAAAAGGAGAACAATTAGAGAACTGTTGTTGACGGTGCCAAAAATGGAACACAAGATGATCTGAGATAGACAGTGAGCCTCCGAGCATGTGATGCAGCCTCTCCCGTCTGAATCACATGAAACATCAAAATCCTTGAGTTCCTCTGATGGATGCATGCCACATCATCTGATAACACACAGATAGACATGTGAGATTTCATGGAGAACGTTACTGGATTCCATATCAAATCAACATCAAACAGGGCTAACATGCAGGGACAGATAAATGACATGTTTATAGAAGATAACATTTATAAATTTAATTCCATCTAGGATGAAATGCTGACGAGAGAGGATGGCTTGAGGTTTTACAGAGATCACAAAACACAGCAGAGACACTTTCACTTCTTTTAGAAGTGAAAATAATCCACCAGGTGTCTGATCTCTCAGTCAACATCACTGCAGTCCACTTCTTAAGCAGAAGTCTTCTACAGACTCAGGATTCTTCCCCAAGAAGCTAAAAAGTCAGTCAGAGACATTTGTGGATGCTGTACTTATATCAATGGATGTATCTTTTGTTTTTCAAAGAATAAACACAACCATTAAGAGTATTACCCTTCCTGATTCACCAAAGGGAAAGGATGAGAGGAAATGTCAAATATAGAGCTGTTTCCTAAACTTAAAGCTGGGTGGACTCTACGATTTCAAGACAATCTTTGGTTGTTTAAGTCGGGTCGAATTCTAGCCGTATCACATGTCATTAGTCATGCATTGTACACAGAGGCATGAGGGCCAGTCACAGCCAATCAGCTGCTCCCGACTGCTCGGAAGATTGTCTGGCATGTTTGAAATTGTGGTGGTACGACAGAATACAGTCGTACAGTGAGAGCAGAGCCACGAGCTGATTCCCTGACATTGAGACTTTCTTTTCTGATTGTGCCTGCACAAACTTTCAGAGAGCATCTGACATCACCATGGCAACAGTAGGCATGCCTGTTTAAGGTGTCTCCCCCTTCTGATCATGAAAGAAACGACAGGAAGAATCTGCAGACCTCGAGGGAATATCTGTTATGATTTCATTGTTCGTAAGCTTGTGTTTACTGGTGATGGCAAGTGTGTGTGTGTCTGTAAGAGAGCGGCCGAGACTGACGATTTTGCAGGTGTGTGTATTTGAGCCGTGAATATGAGACGACTGGAATACATGTCTATCTGTTGACGGTTGTGACCGCTCTAACCCGCTTTAACTCGTACAGTGTGGAGCTCTCAGGTCGTGCGGGTCGTATATTGTGAGCTTTTAACTTAACTATTAAAATAATTCTAACAATATTTTGTAATTCACAGTGCTGGACAAACACAAGTCACACACACCCCAAGTCAAAATTGCCTGTTAAAAACTAGACTGTAAAAGTTGCAAAAACATGTGTGATAAAAAGTGGGTGTCATTTAGAGACGACCTCTCAAAGTGTGATTCACATGAGTGTGAACATGTTAGCTTGATGTTAAGTGGATGGTGTTTTTCTTTGAGGAAGTAAGAGTATTTCCAGACATGACATCAATATCTCTACTTATAAAGCTCTCTATCTTTCAAAGTGATACATCGGGGTGTTAAAGAGTAAGCTTGTCAAGAGGTGGATGGTGTTCTTTTTGAGTTTTAAGTTAGTATGTGTATCAGACATGAAGTTCAGTCGCTCCATAATAACAGTCTACTTTAACGCTCTCTGGCACCTCATCCACACACAGTGCTATCTTTTATTAAAGATTCCCCCTGCACTAACATGGCCAATGTTTTCTCTGTGTTCATGTGTACATCCTGATCTTCATAAACCACATCGTGTTGTGCGTCACTTTATCTGTCACACGTACCAGAAAAACCACCACTTCCTCTCAGACCCAGGAAGTGACACAATATTGACAGTTGAATACGAGCAGACGGCTACACACACTAAAAACAGGCCCACGTCTTGTTTTTAAATTGACAGCTTACTTATGCTGTTTTCCCCGTCAAACAAGATCCCATTAGGACTGTAAACTGGACTGGTTATTATAAACAGACAGCACTATCTCACCATTAAGTTGACAAACGTTTAGAGCCAAAGTAAGTCAAGCTGTAAACTTAATTGCTTTTCTTCTTAGTGTGTGTGGGCGTCCTGCATCAAACCATCCTTGTTGTCCTAATATTGGATCTCTTCTTGGTTAACTAAATCTGTGCCCTCCTCTGCTGCTTCCCTTTTTTTATATCTCTATATCTCTCCCCCTGTGACATGATCAAAAGCAGAACAGCATGGCATCAATGATGCAGATATTTACTTAAAGAGGTTAAATTACACATAATTGCACTTGAAATAACGTCCTGCCTTCATGCAGCCACGTAATGGAAGTTTCCACGAGCTGAAAGAAAACTACGACGTAGTTTTCTTTGATGGAGGTATGTAAAATGTGTGTTTCACAGTACAACCGAAAGTGACTGAAATAGCAAATTGAAAGTCACAAAGGAAAACAACTGAAGGCAGGAAGAGATAAGGAAGTTATCATGAGTGAAAGACTTTCAGTGTTTGTTTGGAGTAAAGCTTGATTCAAAAGTCTGGGACTGTCTGAATGTTAGCAGATGTTGGTAATAGAGTAACAAGATGAGGTGACTTTACGATCAGTGATCTCCTTTGTAGACAGGAAAGCATTTCCTTTTAACACCCCCCCCCCCCCCGACCCCCACCCCCACCCCCATCACACATCAGCCTACTTATTTCTCAATTAAGAAAGTCCAGGTTGGCCTGAAATATACCTGCAGCCACCTTTAACTCTGTTTGGCCTTAAAGGTTTCAGTTTGATGAACTACGAGTGCACTAAGGGTTACACTAGAGGGTCGAGAGAGGGGGCCTAACTATTAGTGAGGCCCTAGCAACTTCAAGTTATTTTTCAACACTGTATAAATACTGTCAGGACCAGGGTTAGGGTTGGGTTAGTTACATTAATTCCTTTCAATCAGCTGAAAATAAAAACAAACTTATGTCAATACTTGTGATGATATCAAAGATTTCCTCAGTCTTTGAACAACACAAGCATTAGATTCAGGGCCAGAAAGTTTGAAAAATACCTGTAAATACCAGCTTACAAGGTGCAATAAGAAATGTACAAAGCAAGAAATAATACAAGCATAGACACAAATCCTCAAGGTGT